CTGGTGCAGAAGACACACCAGCTACCCCCCTTGCCAGTGCCCCCCTTGTCCCAGCACAGGAGGATGGTGCGTCTGTCCCCAGTCCTTCCCTTCCCGAGCAGACTGAGGCTGCAGGGGCGTCATTGAGCCAAGCAGAACCTAGCGGAAAGGACTGTGTCGCAAACAGTAACCTGGCAGAGACCCCTCAGCCCCTCCCGCAAGATACTGATCTGGTCAAGCAGTTGGATAGTGCTTTTGGGGACCATGGGGAGACCGCCCCCTGCCCACCAGCAGTGGACAGTACAGCCTGCTCCGAAGCTCACTCGGAACCAGAGTCCAGGAGCCTGTCCTGAGCTTGTTCTCTCCTTGTTCTCTGGCAGTCCAGAAGGAATCTGGATTTCTTGTTTCTCCCCATGCCTCCCCCATAATTCCTTTTAGTGGAGGCAAAGCAGCTGGAGCACAGTAAAGAGGCAGTACATTTCTCCCCTGGACAGTAAATGTGTATGTGTGACTAGCCATTAATACCCAGCATCCCTCTGCATCTAGACCTGCAGAGAGAGGTTCTCCACCGCGTGCTGGGGCCCCACGTTTTTCTTAAGCCATTGGCAGACAACAGGGCTGCAGGATTGGTGCACTTGGGCTAGTCAGCGTCACACTGCTGTGGTCCCCCCCTTCTTCCTCTCCCACCCTTCCTGCGTTGCTCTTACAAGGAAGGGCTTCCAGTTGTACCGGCTGGATCAGCTGCTGGGGACTGAGTCATTAGCCCTACTTGCCTTTGCAAGCGTGACCCAAATTGTACTAAACAGTTTTTTTTTTTTAAACAAAAAAAAAAAAAAAATCTTAGTGTGATGAGTTGCATCTAATGTGATGTATTCCCGAAAAGACAGGCGGGAAAGCTCATCAACTGAAATGGAAATGAACCTCAGGGGCTGTCAGAAACCACTTGCTGGAGCTAAGAGTCATTTCCTTTCATCATGGGAGCTTCGGTGGATGCTGCTTGACATCTTCACTCTGACAGTTTGGTAGCGTCTAGCTGATTGTCTGCAGCTGAATCTCCCTGTTCTCAGCTCTTGTTCCTCACCAGCCATGTGGGCCTTGACTGTATAGGGTTTTTTGGCTACTTAGCAAAGGAGTAAAGTTGGTGGTTGCAAAGACAAATTATATATATATAGCTCTATCTATTTTTAGAAAGATGCAGAGGTTTTAAAGGGGGAGAGACAAGTCTGTATTAATGGGGGGAGAAGATACGGGTGGCAGTTTCCTGGCGTTCCTATCTTTTAGAACTGCAGTTTGTGTAACAGAATGTGTGTGTGGCGGGGGTGTTCAGGTCTCCTTTGGAGATCCACAGAAGGCAGCAGAGGACATCAGCAAGCTTGGCCTTCCGCTAGGGAAAGTGCATCTTAAGCCCTGTGCGCTTTTACCAGATATCATTGCAGTAGAGAAGCTGCGAAATAGGGCTTTGATTAGCTGTAGTTAAGCATCTCTCTGCTGTCCTCTCTCCCTGACCTCTTACCAGTGGCCACCCTGTCCTGGGAGAGGTGAAACGTGAGGCTGTTTTCCTGTGCTAACAGATCTCTGAGACCCAGTCAGCACTGTCTGAGCTGATAGGTTCATACCGCTTCCCCGGCAGGTGGCAGGGGTGTGCTTGGAACCATCTAGGCTGATTCTGGGACGGATCCCCATGGCTATCCTCCCTTTTCCATTCCCACTGCACCCCCGAAAGGAGAGCAGCTCTTCTTGCTGCCACATGGCCTCCGGCAGGGGCTCTCTGAATCCAGCACCTTAAATGCATAGCACATAGACTGGGTAAGCTAGAGCCAGGGGCTGTGGCCTGAAAACCTTAGTTAGAAACTGAACTATAGCTTCATAATTCATGGAAGAGCCTTTAGGGTCGCATGTGTGTAGCCCGGTCACCACACAGCTCCACTCTTCGCTGTGGTGGCTTAGTTTGTTTTTTCAGTGCCTTGTCCCATGCGTGGGACACCTTCACATCCTAAGATTGGGCCCTTCCATGAGTCGAGAAACCCCCGTGGCACAGGGCCAGAAGGGGAGACTGCAGGTAGAAAACTGTTACTCACAATGGTTCAGTAGAAAAGCAAAGGACCCGAACAGTGAAGCCAAGAAGAAATTTAGATAAACCCTCCCTGGCAAAAAGGAAGCCTGGAGCACTGTCCTGCTGAAAGGAGAGGCAAAGCTAGCTGTGAGATTAGTGTCTCACCCTGGTAGACTGTAGTTTGCCCAAGGGCTATCTGGCTCTATACCTTTTTACTAACTAGTTGTAGTGGGTGACATCTGGTACCCAGGTTAGAGAGGCTGCATTAGAAACCATCCTGTTATCGGCAGCAGAGTTTTCTAGTTCACTCAGCCTGCATTGGTATGCCCATCCTGGGAGCTGCTTCCTTTGGAGAAGGGTTTGTGGTAGGTGATGTCCGGTTCCCCCAGCAAGGCTCTGAGAGGGGAGATAAACTCAGGAAAAGGTAGCGTATGTGGTGGAAAAGGGAAGTGCCATGGGGGAGGGTGGGGCTTAGCCCCCCCTTGATTAGAGGGGAGCTGGAAGGCATGTCTCCAGGGGGGTGGAGACCAAGCTGTGGAATTGTCCTTGGGCTCCATCCTTGCCTACATGAGCTAAGCAGCCAGTAGGTGCAGCCGGTGTTTCCTTCCCAGGAATGAGGCCCTCAGGCATTTCCACTGCTTCCAGCAGCTCCTCCCCCATGCGGTGTGGGGAAGTGGGGTGTGATCGAAGGCTTTGCCATGTCAGTGGCTGCCCAGCGCAGAGGGGTTCCCGACAGTATCTTCGCCTTTCCTCCCCAGAAACCCTTTCTAGGGAGTACATGCTGCTGCTGGAGGTGGAGAGCGCGTGCCAGGGCCCGATACATTGGTGGACCCCTCTCACTACACCCAATCTCCCCAGGAGCGAGATGGGGTCCAGCCAACATCTCCCCCCTCAATTATCTGATGCTGCTTCTAGGCAGGTTGTAAAGGTCACAGAGCACAAGGCAGCAGAAACAGCTGTAGGATTGGGGGCGGGGGGAATGAACCAAATCATTTGCTGAATGAAGGGTAGAGTTCATTCTATTTAATTAATGTACAAAATGTGTTTGTATATATAATAAATATTATCTCGAACAGCTTCAGTGGTGCTGCTTTGCTAACGCTTCGTGCTGGGGTCCTGGGCAGGCTGGACCTGTGCGGCTCTGGTCTTCAGTCTGGGCCGTATCCCCTACACTTCGCGCCTAGGTCTGAGACTGTCCTAGGATCTGAGCACCTCCCCACCCTGGAGGTAGGGCACTATTAGTCTGTCTTTGTTACAGAGGGGGAGCTGGGACACCCATTAAGTGACTTGCCCAAGGAGTCTGGGGGGGAGCAGGGAATTGCCCAGGGTCTTCCAGGCCAACCCCCCCGCAAATAACACTGGAGGGATAGAAGAGCACCCAGCCTTTGGCTGGAGGCTCATTGCACAGCCCTATGGAGAAGCTGCTTCTGCAGCTAGTTCTCCAAACTACAGCGAGGACTTGGCAGCCTAAATACTTTGGAGGGTCTGGACCTGAGCCCCCGGGTTTCCATCTCTGATTTACTGACCTCCCTTTAAAAAATACGTTTTCTGATCAGACTTCAAAGGGCTGGACAGCACCCTTTGGACCTTTAATGCTGCAGGGCTCGTGGTCAGTCCCCCTCTTGTGTACGGACTGCTGCATTCTCATACCTACATCTCTGAACTTCCATCACCTCAGAGATGAGACAAGCCGGGACTTTCCTGCTGCCTGAAACGAAGAGATGGTCTTAACCAGAACCATCTTTCGTGCTTGCTCATTGCTGGCAAGGGAGTCCTGCGGTGACGGGAGAGAAATTACCCTCTCCATAAAACCCTTTTGCTGCTGGGATGAAGGTGGAAGGAGATTTTCCCCCACCCCCAGCTTTACTCAAAAATACAGTTTTGTGATTAAATTCCCTGTAGCTCTGTCAACTTAAATTCTGCAATTTTGTGCCTTGGGAGAGGATCCTGGCTAAAGCGAATCTTAATTCACTAAATAAAATCCTAATCCCAGGGTGACCGTTGCATTCAAAAAAACAGCTCCAAGTGAAGGAAAGATGGGGAGAGAAACTCATGGTGGTGAGGGAGCTGGACAGAGGTTCTTTCCACAAGCTTGGGGGCTGGAGTAGCGAGTGAGCAGATTCCCGAGTCAATCTGCATTTTCACCCCCTCCCCCCACACACACTTGAACCACCTGCAGAATCTGAAGGGGGTGGGTGGGAGGAGAAGTCTGCATTACTTTTATTCTAGTTAAAATCTTGAACTTTGTACATTTTATTTACAGTTAATGTTACAGCTGCTGCTAGCGAAAGGAAACACTTAGAATTTGCATCACCCCAACCCCTGCACAGCATTTTCTGGACCACTGTCACCCTCAGATGTTGTAGGGGAAAGTTTGAGTAGGTCTCTGTTCCGTGCCTCACACCCACCCTGGGGAGAGAAGGGATCCTAAACTGGGCACAAACTTTCCTAGCCTGAGACACCGGCTCTTAGTTCCTCATTGGATTCCATCTAGTTTCCCCAAACAGCTGTTTTAAATAGGGAAGAATTCTTTGGTCCGAGGCAGTGGGGAAAGAACTAAACCTGAACTTCCTCCCTGAGAAAAGCCAGTCCTGTCCTCACACCTGCAGTAATCAATATGTAACTGAAATCGTTTTTAAGTGAGATTCTCCTTTCCATATCTGTCAGGAGCCTGATGTGGGAATCTCGAAGTTTGCCATTACCAAAGGACAGCAGCAGGATGGGAATTGGGTCCCAACTGCGATACGAAGGAATTAATATAAAACAAAGCGGTGAGTGAGTTGGGCCCTGACCCACCTGGGGAGCGTTTCCTGGTTGCTGTGATCTGTGCTAAAGTAACAGGCCACTTCCCCAACCAGGAGCCTCTGCACGTGCTCTCCAGGCTCTGGTTTGATTTAAGACGTGAAAGGAAACAGCAGCTGGTTTTCCAGGGTTGAGTTCAAAAGGAACCTGAACGGCCCGTGTCCCATTACCTGTCCTCGTTCTTCTCGACAATAGGCTTAACAGGCAGCATGCGGATGTTCTTGGTGGGCCCCAACGCCACCACCAGCTCGCTCTTCCGCACCAGGGCTGCTCTCAGCTGATCCCTGATTGCCTGGATCCGTCCCTCCAGCTCCCTGAGCTCCTTCTCGCTAGCATCCCACTCCTCCGGCTGGGGCACCCTGCCGTTTGTGCAGTGCCACACGGGCACCTCCCTCTCCTGCGCCGGCTCAGAGGGCGTCTGCTCCATGTTGAAATGCACCCGCTTGTCCTCTTTCCTGGTGGCCTTCCTGAGGTTGTTCCAGCTTGGCTGGCTGGTATTTGGGGCTGGTGCCTCTTCGCTCTTCTGAATGTTGCACCTTCAGAGTGAAACAGGCAGAGGGTGAGTCAAGCCTTCAGGGCCGAGTCTACCATCCCAGCTGACTAGACGGCTCCCCCCCTCCTCATTGTCTGTGCCCTTCCTGAGAGAGAGGATGGCAACAGCTGGTCAAAGCAGGGTCCTCCCCCTAGAAGGGTTGGGTGATCCTCGTCTCTCCAAGCTGGACACTCACACCCAAGACTATTTGCTGGTGGCCATCAAGGTTCCAGGGCGGGGCACCCTTCTCCCATCCAGCTACCCTAACACCTGTGGGAAGGCAGGGGGTGTTGGACCATTAGCCACCTGTTTGCACCGCTGCTTGGGGGCGAGAGCCCTCTGCTCTAAGCTACTGCTGCAGCTGGACAGCAGGAGCTGCCGACCTGCGGTGAAGACTCAGGCCGGCGGCGGAGGTGGAACGGGGCTTTGCCCCGTTAGTACCTTTTCTCAAGTCTCAGCTTTTGGTTTTTCTGCTCCTCGAAGCCCACGTTCAGCGCCCGGTGGATTTTCTGTGAAGTGCAAAGGAGAGGAATCAGACCTGCAGGGAAAGGGCTGGGGGGATGTTAGGACAGGGCTCTGCCTTTTCAGAGTTACTTGAACTTTGATTCGGTGCCTCGGAGAGTGGCCTTCCAGGGCTCCTGCAGAAGGGCTGGGGGTGGGGGGGGAGTCCCAACAGCTGCTGGGTGTAGGCAGCGGGGAAGAGGACAGTGTGCGACCGGGCCAGGGGCAGAGAAGGGGAATCTTTAGGGCAATATCTATGCCAGAAGACACCCTGTAGGGGCTTTGTCTGGGCCCCATGTTATGGGTGGCAGTGCTCTGTCCCACGCAGGCAAGGCTGGAGAAAAGAAAGCTGCACAGGGGCGTTCTGGGCCATGACTGGGGCTCGTAGGTCCTACGCTAATACAAATAATTACTAGCAATAAATACTCAGACCCCAGCACCACTGCTCTTGGGCCAGCTAGGGAAGGGGCACCCTGAAGCACGGGGCTGGTGGGGACCACGAGGCCCTGGTGGAGGCAGCAGGAGGTGCTGCCCAGACAGCTTCCAAACCCAGCCCAGCGGGGGGCAGGCCGTTTAAGGAAAGCGGGGCTGGGGTCCAGCTGCTCTCACCTGGCTGGTGTGCAGCCAGTAGTTGAATTTCTTCTTCCTCTTGATGCGGGGCAGGATGAGGCGGTAGAAGACGTGCTCGCCCAGGGAGGTGAGCAAGGAGCCGCAGAACCCGACGCACAGCAGCACAAACAGCCCGGAGAAGTGATAGATGCCCATCTGCAGCGTCTGGAAGGGAAAGGGGGGCGGGGGGAGGATTAGCCTAGGCTGAGGAGTGGGTCAGTGCCCCCTCCGCCTGCCACACAAGGCTCCAGTGGCAGCCTGGGCCCCACCACATCTCCTCCCCGCAGAGCCCACCGGGCCGCCCTCACCTCGGTGACGGCCAAGACCCGCTTGCCGCAGGGCACCATCTTGTACCACTTGTCGTGCAGCAGGTCCATGAAGCCGGCCGACTTGTAGCGGCTGATGAACTCGGAGAGGTTGGAGGTCAGGGGCGAGTTCTGGGGGAGCCCGATTCCATAGCCTAGCGGGGGGAGAGAGAGAAGTACCATCCTGGGGGTGGACTGGGAGCCAGCAGCCCTGGGCTCTGTTCCTAGGCACACTGTGGGGCATCACGTCCTTTCCTGTGGCCTTTGTGGCTCTTCCCACCCTGTCTAGAGGATGCTCTTCAGGGCAGTGAGCGTACAGCACCGAGCCCAGCAGGGCTCTGATCTCATCCGGGCCACAAGGTGCTACCACAATACAAATACTCAGGGCCGGTGCTACCATTTAGGCAAACTAGGCTGTTGCCTAGGGCGCCAAGATTTGGGGGTGCCAAAAAGCGGTGCCCCCA